GCAATGATCGCAGCTATTTCCCAGTCTGACTACGATGAGACCCTAAGTACACTTCGGTATGCTGACCAAGCAAAGAAGATTAAGAATAAGGCTGTAGTAAATGAAGATCCAAATGCTAAACTCATTCGCGAACTGAAAGATGAATTAGCATTGCTGCGTGATCGATTACGTACCTATGCACCTGAAGAAGTAGAGCAGCTGATAGCCTCTAGTGCTTATAAAAATACACATTCCCCTACCACCTCTGCTACACGGAATAGCCTGCCTCCTCCTCCTAAGAAAGAGCCTAATAATACTGAATTCGAAATACCAGATGCCTCCGGGAAAATAAAGAAAATGACAAAGGAAGAAATTGTCGAACAGTTCAAGAGCTCTGAAAAGCTATTAGCTAATCTGAACGAGAGCTGGGAAGAAAAATTGAAAAAAACGGAGAAAATTCATCTTGAACGTGAAAGGACCCTCAAAGAACTGGGAATTACCATAGGGAAAAACGAGATGGGTATATATACACCTAAAAAGAACCCTTTTATTGTTAACTTAAACGAAGATCCCCTAATGTCTGAATGTTTAATGTATCAAATAAAACTTGGTATAACACGTTTGGGTAGACAAGGAAGCGATGTTCAAGCCGATATTCGTCTAAGTGGGCAAAACATACATGACGAACACTGTACATTTGAAAACCAAAATGGTGTCGTCACACTTCATCCTGGACCAGAATCATTAACTATGGTTAACGGCAAACGCTTAACTGAACCTCATCAGCTGAAAAGTGGCTATCGCATTATTCTGGGCGATTATCATATTTTCAGATTTAATAATCCTGAAGAAGTACGTAGACAGCGAGATAGTCTTCAACGAACCGCAATTGAAAATAACCTTGGTAACGGTATTCCAGGAAACGAATCACGACCAGACTCTCCTTGTTCCGATATAACAGTAAGCTCTGAAATAATTGACTGGAACTATGCTCGACGTGAAGCCGTTTTAAACTATTATTCAACCGAGGCCAATGGGCTAAAAGATGAAGAGCTTGAAAAGCTGTATGATGACGTTACTAAAATTAGAAACTCAAGAAGATCACGATCAGAAAGCAAATTAGAAAACGAAGATGATGATTGTTCTACTAAAGATTCCTTTCGTAATTCTATATCTGCTACTGTTATCGAGGATGGCGAAAGTGTTAGTACAGAAGCTACTGTGGCTCGTACGTCTAGTTTATTTTTAGAAGAAAAGTTAAAACAAGAACAAGACCGTATGCAAAAAGAACTTGATAATCAAAAACGAGCTTTTGAAGCAAAGATCCACCGCATGTCAAGACAACTATCTCAAAGAACAAGCCAAATACAACCTATATACACAGATAGACAAGTAAAACTCATTCGTAGAGTCTTGTCCCGTTGGAAACAGCTACGCATTGTAAATATGGCTGAAACTGTACTTACTCACGCAGTTATGCTTAAAGAAGCAAATATCATCTCTCGCGAGTTGGAAAAACAAGTCCTTTATCAATTTACAGTGATCGAAAGCGAACCTTTTTCAAATCTTATGTCATTCTGGGAACCTGCTTCAGCACTACATCAGTATGAAACAGATGAAGATACTACATTGTTGACTACACCTAAACCGTGCATAGGTGTGCGTGTTATTGACAAAAAGAATCAAGTGATCTATGTTTGGTCACTTGAAAAATTGAAACAACGTTTACATAAAATGAGAAACCTCTACCACTTCATGGATCGACCACATTATCGCAAGCATTTTAATTGGGAAGATCCATTTTTTGAAAATCCGTGTCCAAAATATTCTTTTATTGGAAATGCATCGATATCAGTACGAAACTTGATATATCAGGAGCCTTATGAAACCATTTCAGATATTATTTGCAGACAAACGGGCCAAGTAAAGGGAAAACTACACGTTCTGGTAACTCCTATAGCGAGATCAGTTGCTGCTCGGAATTCTCTTCATATGACAGACACACAAGATGATTCCGAAGATGAAAAAGAACAAGATGAAGCTGATCCAACTATCCCAGTGGTTGGACAGAATTTATTGTTTGAAATACGCATTTTGAAGTTCAGCGGTTTTACCGAGTCCGAGTTTACAGATATCCATGTTCAATTTAAGCTGTCATCATTTGGAGGAATATCTCCACATACATCAGCAGAGAAAATATTCGCGACAGAACCAGCGAGTTACTTCGAAAACAATCCTGTTCAATTAGATTATTGCCAAGCATTATCAATTTTTGTTACTAATGATGTTTATAAACTACTTATGTATGGCACTATACCTTTTGAGTTATATGGACAAGCACAGCCTCGTGTTCTCTCTCAAATAGAACGATGGGACGATCAAAAAGAAAAGCCACGTTTAATTGATCTCTTCACAGCTAGTCAAAATAAGCGACTGGCAGAGTCGGTACATAGCAGTAGTAGCAGCCAAGAAACTGGCTCCACTTTAGAAAGAAGATCAGAAGAAGAATTAATCACAGCAGAACGACATGATATCATTGCTTGGGTAGAGATTAGAGAACTTGCCCCTTCTGGAGAATATCTACCTGTTCAGCTAGTTACAAAAAATTCCATGGATAAAGGATGTTTTACTCTTAGACAAGGTCTTCAGAGACGTATTTGTCTTACTCTCTCACATACATCAGGACACCAATTTGAATGGACAAGAATTAAAAAAGCTACTGTAGGACATGTACGTCTTTTAGATGGAAAAGGACGTATTCTAGAGGCACCAGCTCAGGAAAACATACCTATACGTCTGCTTAATAAACAGAAAATCCTTTATAATTCTGATGGAACCAGTCATATCACTGCTCAGGGTGCCTGGGATAGCTCTCATCATGAATGCATTTTCCTGAATCAATTAACCGACTCAAACAGTCGCGTGGTTCTAAATCTTCGATGGGAAGTCGAGATGGAAAAATGTGAGAAACCGATTCAGTTTAATATGAATATTTCAGTCCAGATTCAGGGTCGTGACAAGGCAAGAAAATTCAAGAGTATCAAAAGACTGATCTATAAACCTGGTAAAAAAACTGTTAAATACAGTGGTATCTTTCTGGTCCATCTTAAACCTCCAATGACAAGAAGACTAAGTCAGCTATGGCGACTAAATACAGCAGCAAAATATGTTCATGGAGAGGAATTTCTTGGTACCTGGAGACCACGAGGTGTTTCATTAGTTACAGATTACATACGTGCTCAAGAATTTATTAAAAAGAAAGCTAAAGTTGTTTTTACAAACCAAGTTCTCAAATTAAGGCAACTAGATGAATCATTTTCTACTAAAGAGTTGAGCCCAGAAGATCAAGAGCTGCGATTAAAAAAGGTAATCGAATTGTGGACCCTGAAGTTGGGCATAGATAAAGAGGTAAGGTAAAAAATATATTATATCCATTGATTGCATTATTAAATTTAAACTTTAGATTACCATTAGCCAAGATCCACCAATCTTGGATCTCCTAGAAACACCTACTCCTAAGGAAGACCCACTAATGCCATCTAAACTCTTGGCGGAAGTGGAATATATTACACCTGTGTAAGCCATTTCTTTTATATATATATATATATATATATAAAGCGATATATTTAACTAATCATACATGTTATTTAGTCCAAATGTAGCAAAGAAGGGATTTTTGCATTATCAGGAAAATGCTGCCTCTGACACATGGGTAAAACTGTGGTTTGTTGTAAGAAGACCTTACATTTATATATATACCGACGGCAGTGAATCTAACGAACAAGGGATTATCAACGTGTCTGCTGTTCGCATCGACTATAACGAAGCACTTGAGCAAATGATTGAAGTAAATATATTTGACCATTTAATTTTTTTTCCTACGTTCTCAATTAACTTTTATTTGCCTTTAACTAATAATAGAGGTCCAACGTATTTGCACTTTATACTAACAACAATGCTTACACCTTACAAGCTACAACGAGGGAAGAAATGATTAGTTGGATACAAACAATTGATCAAAAGTTTCCAATTGAACAGCTTGGTTCATAATAACCCATGCAATTGTAATAAAAGTTTTGATTTTCTTGAATTTAAAAGTCCAGTGTGAGCCAATCAAAATAAGCTACAGCATTTTTCAGCATTTCTTTCGCTTTTTTTCGTTTAAACAAAAATGGTAAAAACAGATAAGAAATCACTTTACTTCAAAAATGAAAAGGGGGTGGGGGATATCTTAGGACATGATTTAAAGGTCCTGTTTGTTGGCATCAATCCTGGCGTTACAAGTACTGAACGTGGCCACCATTTTGCAGGACCAACCAATCACTTTTGGCCATGTCTCTCAGAGAGTGGACTCTGCGACAGAACTTTGCATTATTATAACGATAATAAACTACCTGACGAATTTAGACTAGGTATCACCAATCTAACAGCAAGAACGACTCGCTCAGCAAGTGAGTTATCACTTTCTGAGCAAAGAAAGGGCATTCCTATTCTCACTGAAAAGATAAAAGAATACCGTCCTCGAGTTGTTTGTTTTGTTGGGAAAGGGATTTATGAGATTTACTCAAAAGGAAAATGCAAGATGGGTCTTCAAGAGAATACCATTCCATGGAATCAAGATGAGCAAAATGGAGAGACTCTAATTTTTGTGATGCCGAGCACAAGTGGTTTAGTTTCTGCTTATCAAAAATCTGACAAATTAAAGTATGCAACTCTTAATAAAATGGGTGGATATTCTAATATTTTGTTTTAGATTCTTCAAGGAACTAAATGAATTAGCGAGTCAGCAAGACTTAAAATATCCCAAACGACCTTAAAATCTTGAAAGAGGCACCATTTTGGAGAAGTCACGAAATAACTAATGAGTTTAAAACCTTAGAGGCACAAGTAAAAATCCTTAGGGGCACCAATACACTCAATCCTGATCGGATATTTAAAAGTACTTGTGCCCATGTGCTCAGAGGATTTTCTTCAAAAATAAAAAACTTCTCCTTTTTCTAAACAAAACAAAACCAATAACACACTTTTTACTTTAAAATATCTACCAGCTCTGATAAAGCTCGACGTTTTGAGGTTTCCTCCCCACTTCCTGTAATTCCTGAGAACGCTGACAAAAGCTCTGCCAAAAAGCTATTAACAGAGTACGCGATCCCGAATAACTTTATTCTTACCATCGCTAATTCCGGACCAACATTTATTCATCTTAAGTGCAAGAAAGGCGGAGAATATAGAAACTGGCGCGAAGAAGAACGTAAACGTATTAAGAAAAGTACAAGAATTGGCTGCCCATATTATATTAGAACTGGTAACTCGTAAAACTCAAGGCTTTCAGTATGTTAAATCTATCTCAGTCGATGAACACTATCACAATCATTCCTTGAATTGCAATGAATTACTTGCTACATCATCAAAAAGAAAAAAAAACAACCTAACTCCAAAGGATGTGGAAAGATTAAGGAAGGAATCGAAAGAAATTTACCTACAAAAATCATTCAGTTTCAACAGTGAGATAAATAAATTGACAGTACATGATATCAACAATTTGAAGTACAGCTTTAAAACCAAGTTGAATATAACATCAAAAGATGGCGCCACTGTCTTACTCAAGTATATTGAAAGCAAACAATTTATCACGAAATATCGTTGCGATCCAACTACAAATGCTCTTGACGGACTCTTTATTACCAACAAAACTCTGATTGCTAGAACCAAGCGATTCCCAGAAGTAATCATTATCATCCCCGAAATTAAAAACACTTTGATTACAGTTGAATCGAATACTGGTGATAGTATTAGCCTCCCAAAGTCAAAAGGCATCAAATATCCCGGACGATCACCAAAGCTACCAAGATTATCTTCTTTGAAAAAAGACTATAATAGCTCTGAATATAGAAAAAGAATGTTACTATATGGAAAAAGAGTTCTTATCAGCACAGAAGCCAATAGAAAAGACGAAAAACACCAAGAGGAACCCGGTAATGATGTATATATTAGCGTTAAAGATTTCAGCACTTTCACTTTGACCAGCTTACCAAAAAAACAAGTTATATTTACCTCAGAAAAGAAAATCACTTCATCTTCTTAGCGAAAAAAATAATAAAATTTACGAAACGGAAGACCCCTTTAAGTCACAAAAAAAAACGCTTAAATACCACTGAAAAACAACATTTCGTTGATGCACATCCATCAATCAACAAAGATAATATCAGAAGTATTTTCGACCCTAAAGGCGATAGCCATTGTAGATACAGAGCAATCTCACACATCCGCTATAATAACCAATATGATTCTCCAAAAGTTATAGCTGGGATGCTAGTAGCTTTCGAGAAAAACAAAGATGTTTATAAAAACGTTTTCATCTATGATATTGACAGACTCGAAAAAAATATCAGAGCTGGGATGGACGAAAATTCTCCTAAAGTACCCGAATTGTTTGTTGCTCCCGATTGTGCACAGGTTGTAGCAGATGCATTTGATGTACCTGTCTGTATACCCAGACCCGTCCGACAAATCACCACTTAGCTGTCCTCTTACTTTTTTGCCTATTCGATCACCAACAAAACTCAATATAAAATGTAAACCATATATAATTCAAAACAGAGGAGACGTGCATTGGTTAGCTGTCAATTATGGCCACCTCCAAACATTATTTCCACCTATTCAGAGGTTTTACTTCGATATTAACCTAGAATATTCTAGTTTATTTCAGAAAACATGGAACTATTATGGATAATTTCCCAAAAATCACAATCAGTAGAAAAAGCAAGAAAAGAATTCATTCAATTAGATTAATATTATATTTTTTATATTCATAAAATAAGACAACTTAAAACAATTAAAATTTTAGAAAGATAGTGTAGTTTCCATCCCATAACTGTTTTTTGTTGTGTCCCTTAACAAAAACCATTTTATTTGTCGTTAGACCTAAGAAAGAGTAAAGTAGGCATAAAGTGCTCTAATCTTCTTTTATTAATTTATCGATAAATCCAGATATTAAATATAAAAATGAATAAATGAAAATAATTGAATAAATGATATAAATATAATACTATCTAATGTTATTAATGCCCTTTGATCTTTTAGCGAGGCCATCGGGTGAGGAGGGTAGGAAACTTTATGCCTAATTTTCTATTTCGACCCTGAATGGGCACAATTAAAAAAAAAAGAACTACGAGCACAAGTATTTTTAAATCTCCGATTGAGATCGGGTGTATGTGTGCTCTTAATAGATCTGTAATAACAATAATAATAAATAAAAAAAACTTACGATTATGCAGCATCTCTGCCAGTCCAATCAACGCTTGCTTTCGACAAGACTAGGGCTTTGTATTGTAATCGGTTTTATATTGACCAATATCACTGGTGGAGATAACAAGTAGATTCTGCTGGAACAGAAGCGTTGCCAAACCGGTAGTAAGCACCAAAATGTTGTCAACGGAGCGTACGTTCAATTGATAGTAGTAGAAAGAGAAATGACAATAACTTTCATGTCTTAGACTGGGTGCATAATTAAAAGTTATTTTTAATAAAAAAGCAAGTGTAAAAGAATAGAGGTATAATGCTTTATTATAATACTGTGCATAATGAGCTGGTTTCTGTTAGGATATTCTTGATAGAGGCGGGCGAATCAGAAGTATAACTCCAGTATTATTTGGTTGATTTTTTGGGGTCTTGTTTGAACATTCTATGATAGGGTGATTCATCTCTTTGTGGTATCGTTAATATTTCTAGTATAGTGTATCACACTAGATAATACAAATGGTTATATAGATCAAAGATATGGACAAAAGCAACTTTTAAAAAAAAATTAGGAAAATGACATCTAAATTAAGATTTGGGATACTTTGAGAGCATCTACCAACTCGGTTACCACTTCTGTACTTTTACCTGTAGCTTAGACTATCGCATATGATAGTCTTAGTAATTATATTTCTTCCTGTTCCTGACCACAAGCATAGATTTCTCGACTTCCGTGTCTACTATGCAAGAAAAAGCATGAATGATGTATAAAAAAAAAACCCAAATTAATCTACCCTTCATAAATCCCAATATGCTCTTTTCCGAATCATGCAAAGATCAACTCTGTTCTATGATCATAATGAAAATAATGCTGATATATTGAACACTGTGACTTAAAACATAAGATTTAAACATACCATTGAATGCTGTCTGGGATTAAAAACCATTCACACCAAAATGTCGTGAACACATATATTTTTAAACACTTGTCTCTATAGCTTAAATCGCTCTTTTAGTTGCCATACTTTATCATATACTTTATTAGCACATTTAGATTTATTAAAATTAGTAATTGATCGAATAGAATTAAATTAAAATGACAACCGACCTTTGCTACACGCTCGTCTATCAGGATGACGCGACCGAAACACCTTCTCTTCAAGATTTCCAACGAGCCTTTGAAAGAGGCCCAGATGAGACACGCATCGACACAATGAAGAAATTACTCGTCATCATGTTGAATGGTGATCCAATGGAAAAGCTTCTATTACATGTCATTCGCTTCGTTTTACCTTCCAAAAATAAGCAACTAAAGAAGCTCTTACAGTTCTACTGGGAGATCTGTCCCAAGACAAAGCCAGATGGAAAGCTAAAAGAGGAATTCATTTTGGTGTGGTAAATATACTTCATTTCCATAAAACCAACTCGCTCTTATTAATACACTTTACTTAGTAACGCTCTAAGAAATGACCTCCAACATCCTAACGAGTATATTCGTGGTTCTACTCTTCGATTTTTGTGTAAAATTAAAGAAGCCGAAGTATTAGAGCCTCTCGTTCCTTCTGTTAGAGCTTGTTTAGTAAGATTAATGAATACGTATATACCCTTCACTTTTACTCATGAAAGCGTATTTAGGAACATCGCTACTCCTATGTAAGAAAGAATGCAGTGTTTGCTATTGGTTCAATCTACAAAGCCTTTGACTTTCTGTTCCCTGATGCACCTGAAGTTGTTCAATCATTCTTACTATCTGTATGTCGAATCTATTCGTATATTTCGATCTATACTTATACTTTTATTCTTTAGGAAGCTGATATGACTTGTAGACGCAATGCTTTTGTTGTACTTTGTAATATTAATCAGGCACTCGCTGTCCAATACCTTCAACGAGCCATTGATTCAGTTCCTTCTTTTGATGAATTGTTGCAGTTGGCTGTTATAGAGTTGATTCGAAAGGATTCGAAGGGTAATTCTTCAAACAAGGTAAACAAAAGTATAAGTATAAGTATGTGCATGTGTTTGGTGTGTTTAACTAAGCGTATTGTTATATATAAAGGCTGCATATATCCGTTGCTTATCAGAACTTTTGGCTGCTGCTTCTCATTCCGTTAAATATGAGGCTGCTTCCATTCTTTTGTTTTTGACAACAAGTCCTGCTGCTGTAAAAGGTACCTATTTCGCCCTTCTTTATAACAACTATTTGCTAAAACTATCTCATTTCTAGCTGCTGCTTCATGTTATATTGAATTAATCGTAAAGGAGTCCGATAACAATGTTAAATTGATTGTACTTGATCGACTTGAAGAAATCAGAAATAAGCATGAACAAGTTTTGGGTGATTTAGTAATGGATGTACTTCAGGTACTTAGTAGTCCCGACATTGAAGTACGCCGTAAGGCCCTTCGTATTGCATTGGAAATGGTATCATCTAGAAATGTACAAGAGGTTGTTCTTTTCCTAAAGAAGGAACTAACAAAAACTCAAGATGACTCTTATGAGAAGGTATTTGTATTTGAATTGAAGAAGAGAGTAATTATAGATCTCAATCTATTTTGATAGAGTACGGAGTATCGCCAGATTTTGATCCAATCCATTCACACTTGCGCCATCAAGTTTTCTGAAGTAGCAGCAAATGTTGTTCATGTACTTATGGAGTTCTTGGGAGATGCCAACAATCCTGCTGCTGTTGACGTTGTTTCTTTTGTACGAGAAGTAGTTGAGAAATTTCCGGGTTTGAGGGAATCCATATTAGAAAAATTAATTGAAACATTTGCGGATATGAAATCAGAAATGGTGTTCAAGGGAGCACTTTGGATCATTGGAGAGTATTGTGCATCAATTAAGGAAATCGATGATGCATGGGAACAGATCCGTCATGGTTTGGGTGAGATTCCTCTATTGGCTTCTGAGCAGAGATTATTGGATGAAGCTGAGGCTGCCGAAAATGGAAATGAAAGTGAAAGCACAATCCCAGCTATTCCATCAGGAACCGCTGCTCCTCGCCGTGTGCTTGCTGATGGCACTTATGCTACTGAGAGTGCCTACACTGAATCTACTAGTGCTGCAACTGCCCGTTTAGAGGCTGTAAAGGCTGCTAGAAAACCATCTCTTCGCTCTCTTATTCTAGGTGGCGATTACTTTTTGGCTACTGTACTATCTACTGCTATTACTAAACTGGCTCTTCGTTATAGTACTCTCTCAACAGATTCTTCGCTTGCAAACGCTCGTAAAGCTGAAGGCATGTTGATTATGACTAGTATTCTTCGTATTGGACAATCCAAATTCGCTGCTTTTGAAATCGATGAAGACTCATATGACCGTATCGTG